AGAGCACAGAGGAAGGGCTGACACTATAGCAAGGGGAGGTGCAGGGGTAACTGCCTAGGGGAGAAACTTGGTAGACTCTTCCTCAGCCAGGCGGTGAAGGCCAGCAGGGAGGTGTGGCTGTCCACTGCTATTTCCTTTCTCGCGTCCATATTCTTCCACTGGAATACTTTTGCGCCTTCAGGTGGTACGAAAATGTCTCAGTCACCAGTTTAGTTTGAAAACCTGACACACAGCGTGAATGAAAGCGGTCCTAGGCAAGTTCCATTCCCAGGAGAACCCACTATTCTCTATGACCTGTCCTGCTGTGTCCTGCCAGTGCCCCAGGGCAGTGATGCTCTAGGTTCCAACCTTCTAATCCCCCTACTCACTGGGACTCCCGACGCTGTCTGTCAGCATCTTTGCCAACTGCAGAGGGCCAGGCATGTGTAGCTTTTCAGAGTGTTCTGTGGCAGAACAGTGATGTGGCCACATGGACTCAACACTGAGATGCTAGCCACAGTTTGCATGTGGAGAAAAGAATTAGTCTTAGAAATTCCTCAATCACCAAATCTTGCTTCCTCTGCTTACATAAAGATCATGTGGCAGGTTTCAGGTTGGACATGTATTTTCCACTTCATGTCTGCAAATTCCATCTTTTCTTTTCCTCATTGTTGTGTGTATCCTCTCTCTCTCTCTCTCTCTCTCTGTCCATCTGTCCATCCATGTGTGTAGACTGAAGGGCAGCCTTGGTTTTTGCTGTTTTAGGTTTCTACCTTTCATTTTGTTTTGTTTGAAACAGTGTCCCTCTCTAGCCTGGAACTTGACAAGTATGCTAGGCTGCTGGCCAGCAAGCCCCAGGGACCTGCCTGGGATCGTAAACCCACACCACTACTCTGGCTTGTTATTGGGTTTGAGGAGTTGAACTCAGGTCCTCACATTCATATCATAAGTGCTTTACTGACATAGACATCTTTTTAGCCTGTCTTGTGTTTAAAAACGAGAACTATAACACTCCTGCAAACACCTTCACACCTCTGGAACCCACCTTGTGTGCCTGGCCCTGCTCCCGGGGCCATTATGCCTCAGCACCCAGGGCATATTAGAAGTACTCCTGGAAGGGCCTAGCCTTGAACTTGATTTGTGGAAAATATTTCCATAGTGTGTTGTAGTGGGCTTCACTTGGCATCTCAGAAACAGACGAAATTGATTTGCCGAGCATAGGTGCTTGTCCAATTGTTTATTTGCCATTCACATGGTTTTAATATTGAAGTTACAGAAAAGACTGCAGTACAAAGAAAGGAACCCTTTAATACTTAGGGCTGCCCCACACTGGCTGTGTGTGATACCCCAGGAACACAGGCCCAGCTCACTGACTGTGCAGTGAGAGCGCCAATGGGTGCCTGCTTTCCTGGGCTCCTGAGGAGGGATCTGGAACATTCTCTCCCTCCTACCTAGCGTGATTTAAGACCTGAGCCTGACAGAGCTGCTTAGGAGGTGTTCTGTATGTTAGTGCCAGGGAGAGAGAGGACTACACACGGATTTCGGGGTGCCACTTAACAGGGCAGTTGCTGGAGGCCGAAGAACTGTATTTTCTGAGATTTTCCTTTTTAGCTTTTCAATACATGTGTTTTGCTGTCATTTAAATTTGGAAGTTTATTTTTTTCCATTGATCTTTGTACATCCAGAGTAACAGAAATACCCAACAGTTCATTTGGAGATTTTTTTTCACATTCATTCCTCCTAGAACATAAAAAATTAAAAAAAAATTGGAACCATGCTGTTTATTAGCTGTTTATAAAAGTGAATAAGAAGTAGTTCTTTTAAGTCTAAAATAAACAAGTGGAGAAAAGCATTTTTCTTCTACAATATTTAGCGAACATAAGAAAAAGTCCTTAGAAACACACACAAAAAAGTGGAAAAAGCTATTACAGGCATTAACAATATTTTATAATGAAGCTTGAAATCTATTTACATACATAAATACAATTGAGTTTGTTGATACAATTCTTCTGAGGGAGGGAGAAAAAAAAGACAAATGATCAGCTTTGCCAATACTGACCTGGCTGAAAGAGGGATGCTATTCCAAACAAGTAACCGACCAACCAGCCACAACCCTCAAACAAGTGTATACTCTAGAGTAAACAAAAAGGCATTTTGTTCAGATATGGAAAAATATTCTGAGATTGCTGTCAAACCGTTTATTTTCATGTATAAAAGACCCTAAACATCTCATGCCTCCTGCTGCAAACAAAAAGAACCAAAATAATAACAATAATATCAAACCCCCAAACCCTTAGGACAGAATGTCCTAGGCAAAAAAGATATTTCAAGAAAGAAATCTACAATCCTCAGTTGAGGCCATGTGAAGTCTGAGCGTGTGTTTGTCTGCACAAGATGCTGTGCCAGCCACTCAGCCCCGGGTTGTGATCTGTGGAGCTTTGCCGTTATCCACACAGCAAGCAGATTCAAAATGGCTGGCAACACCTCTGTTCTGTTGGGAGAAACCCATGAGCAAGAGAATGGCTGACTCACCCTGTTCTTTATGCAAATGGAGAAGAACTGAACCTTCTGTGTTCTGAACACTTGGTATGGGGTAGAGAGAGAGAGAGAGTGTGTGTGTTTGTGTGTGTGTGTGCTAAGTATGTGCACGTGTGCATGGTGGCTCCTTGGAAACTAGGCAGGAGGAGGAAGGTGGAGTTTGGAGGAGGGAAGAGAAGAGAGAGAAAAGATATTGGGGGAGAACAGAGGGTGAGAAAAACAGAAGGAATTAGGTATGTGTTAAAATCATAACTAGGCCTTCATAACAGTAGAAACAACTTGTTCTGTTCTCCTTTTTCTGGACCAGTATTCCCAACAGCCCCAGTTATCTCAGAACTGGCCTGTGGGTCTTACCTGAAGACAGTGAATGAGGTGACACCTTCATGCCCCTGAAGGCAATGAACACAATTTCTCAGGCAGAAAAATATGTGCTGTATGGAATCTACTTTTGAAGCAGTGAGTGCATGATTTTTTTTTTTTTTTCTGAAATGACCAAATACTACATATGCTGATAAAGGTTTAGAAAGCACAAAACCAGACCTTCTACAAGGTGACAAGCCTCTTGATGCATGGTTTCCAGTGCAAAGGTTCCATGTTTGTGATTATCTGGTTCCTCTCTTAGGGTTAGAATTTCTTCCCATACCACAATTATTATGAAAAAAAAAAAATCTTTTTCCTTTGTCTTTCCCTAGCATTTTTTTTTTTTCAGGGCAGGTATGGCAACCTATGCTAAATGAAACATCTAATTTTGGAAAAATAAACTAATGGTCCTTTTCATAAATTAAATTATTTTTTTTCTGACAGTTGATGACAGCATAGCTGTACACATGTCCTGTGGAATAGCTGAGTAAAATTGAAGGAAGGAGGAAGTTACGTGTGATGTGAAAATCTATTCTGAGCTTCTCCAGATCTCCAATGGGTCTTCTCCAGATAAGAACAACCTGCCACCACAAGTTAGCCTCTTACCAAAGTGCTGCTGCTCCATGTAAAACAAAGAATCAATATATAGATAGATATACATATAGATAACTCAAAAAACAAGTTGTTTTTTTAAATAAGTCCAGCTGTTTTTGCTGCCTGCAGCCAAAGATCTAATCTGAATGCTTAAATTTATAAAAATAATAATAAAAAAACCAAACACTGTTCTGAAGTCCTGCTTTCAAACGTTCTTCAGAGTTGACCTGACATCATTTCAACTAATTTAAGAGGTACATTAAACACAACCAGATCATTTTGAGCACACCTATGTCAAAATCAGCAGTTAGGATATATCAGTTGTAGAACAGCTGGATTTTGACCTGTCCTCCGCTGTACCAATAGTGCCATTACATTTACAGTGACATGATATGCGTCTGAGCTGCAGCCATGGACTGCGAACGGGAATCTCTCCTGTCATGCTGCTGCACAGATAAAGCGCACAAACCCCAGAGGCTGGGGCTCAGCCGGGCTGAGGCCTCTCAAAGATGCTGGTGAGGGAGCTGCTTCCGGAGTCGCCCTCTCGCTAAGACAGGTAAAGGGAAACTGGCTCCTTCAGGCTTTGGGGCACACTCTCTAAAACTCAGCCTTTGGCACCTGGTCTTGCTTCTTTTACTTGGATCTTTGGGAATGCAGCCACGAGTTTTGGCTTTCACCAATCAGCAGGCGCTATTAATGGAAGGCGATTAAAGGATCATAGTCACTGATTTGGGGGTCTATGTAAATGCTAAACCCCTGCCCAACCGCCTGTTTGGATGAGCTCTGTTATACAGCGTGCCTGAAGAGAAAGCGATCCTCCTCAGAGCTATAATCTTGGCGCCTCTCTGAACTCTTCCCAGCAGAGCCTTGCCTTTCTTTTTTAAGGGAAGGAGCTAGGTATGAGACCCTTTGTTGAGCCTGGCAGAAAATCTCATACTTACGACCTTGGAGTGACCCTCAGTGTCTAAAATCCGATTAAAAACATTGCTGCATTAGCTACCAACTTGTTTGAATAACGTAGGAGGGAGTTTAATGTAAACAATATCTCTAGAAAACCACATGATCACATAACCCATCCTTTTTTTTTCCAGCCATCTTCAATGCAAAAACATTTAACTTTGGCTATTATAAAGAAAAATGTAGTACTTGATATTTTTTCTTAATATAAGTACATTTAAATAATTAAAAAAGTATCAACACATATGTAAATGTTCAAACATCGAGATACATAAATATCTAGGGATTTCTTTGTGGAAATACAGTAGTTAAAAAAAATGACCCAAACTGTAGCTGTCTCTTTAACAAAACACACACACACACACACACACACAAAACAAACAAAACCCCCAGCTACATGGAAGTCTAAAAGTTAAATAAATCTTATAGAGTAGGGAACCGTGTCTTTCAGTTGGTCAAAGGAAGAAAGAAGCAAGCTCAAATCTATACATATTTAAAAATAACGACCACCCAGCTGCAAACACGATTTTTTTTTTTTTTTTTTTTTTGCAATTGATAAGGTGCGGAAAAGAAACTCCTAAATGAGAAATAGATGCCGAACAGGATGAGCTGCGTCTTCCCCGCCCCTGAGCCAAAAAGAAAGAAAAAAAGAAAAAAAAATTCCACACTCTTTGGAATAAACAACGTGGTTAAAAAGTGAAGTCAAGGGTATAAAATCTTTCTTTTATTCACAGCATTGCTAAATCAGAAGCATTCACAGTTTCCCTCCGGCATCTTCCTGCTGGCCTCCGAGGGCCCTCCTGGCGGGTCTGTGCTTGGACGGCGGCGGGGGGCCGGCTCAGTCCCTCGACGGCGGCGCTCAGTAGGGCCGCCACACGGCCTCCTCCAGGCGCGCGGGCGGCATGTTGGTGGGCGAGTTGCTGTGGCTGCCCTCGGTGTCCGCCACGTCGCTCTGGCTGGGGAGGCTGGGGTTGAGCAGCGCGGCGCCCGTGGACGCGTTGGTGCAGGGTGGCAGGATGCGCGGGGGCGAGCGCTCGCCGCCCACCATGGAGAACTGGTAGGAGCCGGCCGACGCGCCGTAGTACAGGTGGTAGGAGGGCGAGCCGGTCTGGAAGGGCCCGGCCTGCGCCTGCGAGGAGCCGGGGTAGGGCGGCGGCAGGTAGGTGTGGTAGCGGGAGGCCGAGCTCATGGCCGACATGCCGATGCCGATGCCCGACGTGACGGGCGGCGAGTAGGTGAAGGCGCCGGGGTAGTGCATGCGCGGGTCGGAGATGGACGGCAGCGCGGGGAACTGGCGCGGGTCGCCGAAGGCTGTCAGGTCCGGGGCCGCTGTCGGAGGGTGGGAGAGAGGGCGTGAGTCTGCGGTCAGGGAGGCCAAGGCTCCAGGACACACAGGGTTGCCCAGAGTGCCCGTGAGCGTGCGCGGGGACGGCACCCACAGAGAGCGCCCCAGCCTCCTGCCGGGCGGGGGGACCCCTGAGAAGGCCCCCCCGAGGTGGACGCTCAGGTTAGGGCCCTGCTGCTGCCAGCAGGGCGGGCCTACCTGGGGGGCCACCGCTGCTCAGAAGCCGTCTCACCCAGCGTGCTGTCGCACGCAGCCCGGCAGACAGTCTGCAGGGAGGGGTGGCACGGCCTGTCACGACACTGCGTAGCCACGTATCACATGGGTGCCTAACCGCCGCAAACACGGTAGTTTAGTGGCGCGCTTATACCCTACATGGATGTTACCCGCCCCGTTCACAAACTGCAGCCCATCAGCCAAGTCTGGCTGGGGCAAGAAGGCCGTGTCCTAGGAATTAAGAGTAAGTTATACTTTTTCAAATAGCTGTAAAACTGCAAAAACAGAAACACGCAAAATTTTTGTTTCTATTTCATTTGTTGAGACATAGGCGTACTCTGCAGCATGAGGAGGCCTTGTGCACCTTCATGGGTGCTAAATAGCTCCCATTGCTATCCCAGTGACCCAGGACAGCAGGAACTCTTAAAGTAGAACGGTTTCTCTTAAACCCTTTACTAGTAAAAAAAAAAAAAAAAAAAAAAAAAAAAGCCTATCCTCTGTTTATATGGAAATATTAATAGTGATGTGTATATTGGTAATATAATCAGTCCACGGACTCTGGCGTAACCACACCAAGATAACAGTGCCCAGTGAATGCCATCACAGTAACCCAGGTAATGATGCCCTATGTGTTCCCAGCAGAACATACTACACCTGAGTATTGATAACAATGCCCATAGCGCTGAGGCTGGATAACAGGAAACTGTCGTTTCTGTAGGCTCTGGTCCCTGGGAAGTCGGCTCGTTACCTAGTATTTGGCAGAACGCGTGCTGTGGCAGTGACAGTGGGAATGTGGGTGGTTGGGTGTCACTCTGGATCTACCCTCTGACTTGTTTCCTGAGGGAACAGTGGCATTTGATTTCAGGTCTTTACCTAAGACTTGCTTCTCTGTTTTCTTTTTAAAGGTAACCTTAGTTTTGATTGTGTTTACGCATGCGCGGGTGCGTGCCCACAGGGGCTAGAGGAGGGTGACCGGCCCCCACCTCCCTGGAGCAGTGTATGCTCCTAACCACCGAGCCGTCTCTCCTGCTGCCGCTTTGCTGGTTTTTAACACAAATGGATATAAAAACTTGTTTTGTCTCCAGTGGCCAACTTTCCTTATGAGATTCATTTTGGAAGCAGTTTTACAAACTGCCCTTGGCTTTCCTTCTGCGGCTCACCGTGTCTGTCTGCACCTCACCCACACTTGTGTGCAGGCTGCCTCTGAGGCAGACCAGGGAGCGGGGGGGGGGGGGGCAGCATGTGCTCCTTAGGGGGTGGTTGGAGACTAACTTACCACTGTGGACTATCGGGCAGCATCTCTCTGTCCTTTACCCAGTACGTGCCAGCAGTGCCCTTCCCCCACGGAGACATCCCAGAATATCTCCAGACATTGCCAAATAGACAGAGTGGGTGTAAGGGGGGCAGTCCCCCCCCTGCCGAGAGCCACCACTGACTTAGGACTTGTCCCTCAGAATGAGAGCAGGCTTCGAGTCACACCAGCAAAGACACCAAAGACACCAGCAACGCAGAGCAGGGCAAGAACTAAACGTTCAAAGTGCTAAACTCTCAAGCTGACTCCAGAGCAACTCCTTGCTCTGCTGGCATGTGGTCGGGGGTCCCTTTCGAGTTGAGCCTGCTGGAGAGAAACTTGAGGGTAGCTAAAAGCTTCCTTTGAAAGGAAAGCTACCGGGTGGATTAATCTGGTTTTGGAAGGCATGGGCCATGATCAACTTCCTTCTGAGCCCATTATTCCAGCCCGGAGAGCCAGTGTTTGTGTTCTTGTTTCTCTTGCCCCCCCCCCCCCCCCAACGATCTTTTATTGCTCTAACACAATTTTACAAAAGGAACTCTTGTGTACATTTGGGGTGAATGTGGAGGAAACAGAGTCCTCATCAGAGAGGTAATTAGAGTTTATAGGAACAGCCGAAGTCTGTAGCAAATCCCTCTCCTAATGAGGAAACCAGGAGTCTGACTTTCAAACAAACACTCCTGTTAATCTTTTCAAAGCGAGTCAGACATGTGGGCAGGGGAAGGCCGTAAACTGACAGTGGTCTGGGGCTGCCCTGGCCCAGCTGCCCCTAGCTTCTTCTCCAGCCAGGCCGCACCTCATTCCACAGGGTTCATCCCTGCCCCCTCGCCGGGGCCACGTGTGAGCAAGCCCTGTGTCACTTGTTTTGCTCTCACAGAGAGCCGTGACATGTTTGAGAGTTAACAGGGAGCTTTACTCCATTTTTTTTTTTTCCAGTTAAACTTATACAGTCCGGGGAGACTCGGAGGTAGGAGGGAGAGCATTAGGCAAATACGATCAATTTGTTGTCATCTGATGCAAAGCTCTGGACACAAACAAATGGTTCTGCCCATTATCCCTCTTGCTTCATTTGCCCTGAGACAAAAAGGTGAATCCACTGGAAAAAATGAATGAAAGGTCACCCGTTTCACAGCCATGTCTGAACATGCTCTGCCAGTCCATTCCAATTACTACATGGTGATGTGGTGATGGCACCGGGTTACTGGAACCCTGCGTGAGTCTGTGATTTGTCATGGAATAAGGTTACAGGCTCACTGCTGGGGCAGAGCATGCTGGGGAGCTGAGATAGTGTGGCATCCCTCTCCAGGAGGTCAAGTTCTCTGCCCCTCCCCTCCCTCTCTTCCTCCCCCTCCTCCCTCCATCCCTCCCTGTCTCGTTTTCGCGTACATTGTAATAAAAAGACTTAAGCCCTCTAGATATGTTCAAATTCAAGTGCCCTATTTAGGTGCTTGTTTTTATTTACAAGTATTATTTTATTTTCAGTGGCGTGTTTGTGTTTGTCGGGGGTGGGTGGGTATGTGTGGAGTGTGGTGGGCTTGTGGATGCCGGATGAAGGAGGCAGATGCCCTGATGCTACGGGCAGCTGTGAGGCATCTAAGCTAGAGTGGGGCATGGGAAGCGAACTCAGGTACCCTGCGAGAGCAGCAGAGGCTCTGAACTACTGAGCCGTCTCTTGTTTTCATTTTTAAATCTGGTCTGGTCTCTCTTATTACAAATCACCAGCACACAGAATTTACCCACCATGAAGCTGTGGCTCCTCTATCCTTTTGGCTGGCCTAGTGTCCTCCCCCTAAATCAGCACTGAAGGCAACTGCTCCCCTCCCCCCATTCATGGGGAGATTGTGAAAGTAGGAAGTCTGAGGATTAGAAGGTTCAGGTGTTTTCACTGGAAGTGCTTCTTCTTGGATGGTGCTAAATATCTGCCGTGACAGAGCTAGTCTTGGCTGTAGAGTCTGACACGGATGAAAGCAGGCCCAGAACAGGGCCCTCCCACTGCCCCCAAAGGATTAAACAACCTGAGCAGATAATGGCTGCCTTAAAAGGACCCGTGCGTGACTCAGATTAATGGTTGCTGTCTGTCGCCCAGGTTGGCAGCTAAACATTAATTAACAAAAAGAAAAAGAAGGGGGGAAAAGAAGAAGAAAGTTAAGCCGTCATATGACAGTTCCTCTCAGACAAGGTGTGGAGTCTGTCTGCAAGGGACAGAGACAGAGTGCAGGTCTTCGGAACAGAGGAAGGGGGTGGGGCTGGGGGAAGTGGAAGGACCAGCACAGGGTACATCAGCCACAGAGGGGTCAAGTTCGAAAAGCTGTGGGCAGGCAGCCACGTCCTTTCATGGAGCCCAGCCCTGTCATGCCCCAGGTTCATGACAGGCCTTTGAGGCCTGTGCTCGGGGCTTGATTTCTCAAGTTTTGCCAAGTTGAAGCTCACTCTCCTATTCGATGCCACTCATGAAAGCTTGCTAATCATCCTCTGGTCTTCCTGCTGGGTGGCAGAGGGTCACTTTGGCACTGATGTCATTTTGCTGTCTCACATTCCTGTGCCATAAGCACCTTTCCTTCTAGTGTATGTTGTTGAAATCCATTAGGAACATCGCTACGATCTGGGCATGTTACTTATTCTGGGTGACAGTGGCTGCTGGTATATTGCCCATGTCATATCGAATGTCCCCACATCCCACATGTAAGTGGCTGTACTTGATTAATAAAAAACAAATTAAAAAAATGTAAAGGACCTGAAGTTTTGAGGGAGATGCTACAGGGGCGTTGAGGAGGAGGGATGGGGGAGTGATGTGATCAGTCGTATCATATCCATATCTGCAGTCCCCAAAGAGCAAACGAAAAGTTTCAAAAGCCACTCTTCCACATGACCACTGGCCAGCTGGAGGAGCTGGCCCTAGGTGCCTGTTTTGGATGGTGACCAAGCTGAAAGTATTATGTAACAAATTTCAAGGGACAGACCCACACTGGGGACATCTCCAAGGAAAACAGTGAGTGCTTCAGATGTGGGCTGTGGCCAGTGGACAGAGCAGTGTCACTGGAAGGAATCTGTGAGAGCTGACAGGCGCTACTGGAGTCAGACTCTGTCCCTGAGGAGGCAGGCTTTTACAAATGGCCAGCTGAATGAATGCCACAGTTCCTATGTTACCCTCTCGGTTCTGCGGACTCTCAGCTGCCATGGCAGTGTTGGCACTGATGGCCTAAAGTCAGGTGGAAACTGAGTGAGTAAGCTGGCTTTTGGATTTCAATCAGCTCCAAGGGCCAGTTGAAGTCAGAGCCTCTCACTGCCCCAGCTGAGACACGTGGCAACGTCTGGCAACATTTTCTATTTTTATGTTTGTGGGTGTGGGTGGGGGAGTTGTGAGTGTTCATTTATGAGTGCCCTTGTGTTCGGGCACTGTGCATGTGCGCGCTTATGTGTGCAGAGGTCAGGGGTCAACCTTGGGTTCGCCTCAGCAGTGGTCCAACCTGTTTTTGTCTCCTTGGCCTGGAGCTCTTTGATTAAACTTGTCTGGATACTCAGGTGACTCCAGGTCCCCAGAGCTGGGCCCAGAGGCCTGTGCCACCTCATGCTGCCTTTATCCCCGGGTTCTGGGCATCATGGTGATTCTCATGTTTTCATGGTAGGGGTTTTACCGACCAAGCCAGCCCCTAGCGCTGGAGACTTATAATGGACAGACAGAGCACTAGCACTGGCATCTAGATAGAGGTCAAAGGCGCACAGGTCAGCCCCCCAGCAACAAAGCGTGATGCAGCCCAAATATCGGCCTGGTTGCTGGGGGAAGGCAGGCTACTCTAGGCAGGTGACCTGGGATTCTGAGGTCTCGTAGGATCCGCTGGTGGACTCTCCTCTGCCCTTCTGCCCGCCCCCCTCATCTGTTCTAGTCTGCCTCAAGAGCCCCGAAGCAGAACCTCCCCCTCCCCCAGCACACATGGCGGGCCCCCAAAGGGTGAAGCTGCCTGATGTGCGAACCTCCCCCTCCCCCAGCACACATGTGATGGCACTCGAGGCCCCCAAAGGGCGAAGCTGTCTGATGTGCTTCACAGTTTGGTACAGCTCCAATTTCAAAGCCCCAAACAGAAAGTTTCTTCTTCTGCCTTCAACAAAGGATTTTTTTCCTGTAGCTCTGATTTCCCTGCCCAGGAGCGAAGGTGAGGACCCAGCCCAAAGGGCTCCTGGGTTAAATGACTAATATTTAATGAGCTCGTATTAACAACAATTACGCTAACCATGACACCCGAGCTTCCTACCTTGTTTCTAACCTCAGTCTGGACAGCCCTGAGTTGGGAATGTTTATCTTGGGGCATGTTTGTTTCCTACTCCAGTATGTACCCTGTGTGTTGCAGGAACGAACCGGCGAAAATTCACCACCACTGGAATGAGCAGCCATGGTCTAGAATTCAGATGGGATGTTGATTTCTTGGCCAAAGGTACGAAATCCTTAGGCCACTTTGACTGTTCAGAACAGTAGCCCTCAGCCACCAACCTCTCCCAGCAGGCACGAGCAAACTCCAAACACCCAAGTGAGGGACTAGCTAAAGCACGCTGGCCTCCTGTCAAGAAAGATCAGTGCCTGGGCATGGGACCAGTGCACACGCAGGGCACCTGGTCCATTAGTCACATCCTGCCAGCTCCTTTCCTGAGTTTCCCTCGTCTTCCCGACCTTCCCCTCCAGCCCCGATGCAGATAGGTTTCCAAGCGGCTTACTTGAAAGTCGACTGGAAAGTTCTGCAGAGAGGCTTGTCATGCCGCTGGCACGTCCGGGTGAAATGGGTGTTGCGGGGTGCACGGAAGAGGGGGTGATAGATCCCAGGTACTGGTAAGACTGCTCATAGGACCACGGTGGGGACGGCTGGATCTGCCTCGCATCTGCAGAGAGACAGGGACGTGAGTGATGGGTGGCGTAGGGCCAGGCTTTAAAACAAAGAAGTCTTAGCGTGACAGTTACTACTAACTATTATTTAAACAGTTAAACATGTAAGTTCACAGCTTGTTCACTTGTATGTAATGAACCCACTAGAAACCAAGTATTTGATGCCTATATTATATGAGAGCTCATCTGAAGAATACTGAAATACATGTTGGATTTGGGGAGATTCTTATTTGATAAAAATAACCTTCCTTCTATATATAAGTATACTGATACTGTGGGAAATGGTTTATACTGGACCCTAGCAGTACTCAGTGACTTCAGGTACCAAACGTGACTCATTCAACTTGGCCAATAATTATAATTATCATCACCAGAAACATTTCATCAGTCCAGATGGTCGGTCACCTGTGTTCAGGAAGCACAAAGGGATTTTGGAGTGTGAGGAAACCTTGATAAAAAAAAATGTACATGGGCTTGTAGACATTTCCAATACTACCCCGACAAATGATCACAGAAACAGTAGCAATAGTGATAGTAAAAGGATACCCCCCCCCATAGACAGACAGAGAGACAGAAAGCAAAGAACACTGAGAGTGAGCTGTGGCGGCCAGGACACAGGCCCCCCAGTGAGGCTGCTCTGTCAAACCAGGCAGCATCGAGACTTGAAGTTGGCAGTCTTTGTTAAAGGGCAGAATTTTCAGAATGTTTTACAGGTTGCCACTGAGAAGGATCTGGGATGGAGCAGAGACCAAAGTCTGCCTTCAAACAGACGGATTTGTTCACCTGATTCCAGGGCTCGTCCAGCCCTGTCACTGCTGACTTCTTGCTGGCTTTGGTTTTAGTTTTGGAGATGGTGTCTAACTACATAGCCCAGGTCAGGCTCCCCATCCCCTCCTGGTGGTCCATTTCCTTATTATATTGAAAATAAAATGCAACAACCACACAAAACCTGAAAATGGAAGTGTCACACGCCTTGTCACTCCTGGAAAAACATTTTAACTTGGTGTCTTTGGAATCTACTGGTAAAGAGACCTCTTGATTTCTTTCCACACGGTGGAGGGTTTGAAAAGGTGCCTCGAGAAAGGGAGCAGATACACAGTAAACTTAGCAGGCAGTGAGAGCCTTGGGCAATTTTCCAGCTAACAGTGTTTTTAGGGGCTGGAGGTGTACAGAAACGACAGACTGTCCTGCAGCCCAAGTCAGTGTAAGTATCTTGCTCCCAGTGTATGTATGGGAACTCCCAATTCCATATACTCAAAACTTTTCTACAAGACATGCTTGTGTTCTTGCTACACACACTTAGCAAATGAACAGATAGTACTCAAACAGAAGAGGTTCTATAATTGTCGCAAAGGCCTCCGGGGTGTCAAGTGCAGTACTGTAATCCAGGCCTTGCTGTGTAGACAGCCTAGCACCCCTAGCCCCATGTCTAAAACCACAGTAAGCATAAAGTGTTATGCCATGATTCATGCTCTGTCATGTTTTACTGTAGTGAAAAAGTCGTGCTAGGCCTTTCAAAACTCATAATTAAACCGTGCAAACGTTGCATAATATTTCACAGCCTTTTAAAAATATGCTTTGGGAAAATGACCTTTATGATTCAAGCTCAAGTCATGTGCTTTTTTTTTAAACACAGGTTGTAGATTTGGCATCATCTTACTTTCCACTGCGGTGCTGAGTGGGGACAACAAACACCGAAGGCCACTAGCCCATCAGCCTTCATTTCCTCTATCACAAGGAACCTGCTCGCGCCCTTTGCCAATGGTGTGCCAGTAGGTGGTGGTGGTGTGCCGAGCCTCTCCTTGCAATTTGGGTTGTTTTCAATCTTTTTTTTTTTTTTTTTTTTTTACTTAATTGTCCATAAAAACTAACAAACCAAAAGAGGCATGGCAATACAGTGCATCCTGAGTTTTGTGTGAGAAGCCTCTGACATGTTTTGATGGGAGTGGACGTGGGGCCATCAACACAGCAAAGCCAGAACTGAAATGGCTGGATTGTTAGTTGCCTGGCAGGAAAATGAGCTTTAGGTCCATTTGTTTGGTGAGAGGGCCATTAGCCTTGGAAACCTCCATCCTTCTCTCTCTGCAGTGAGATGGTCTCTGAAACCACCCAGTGGTGACAGGGCGGGGTCCCCATTCATTAAGTCTAACTCGGTACTGCACTGTTTAACTTATATGTTGCTAGAGTCAGGAAAGGGATGTGAGGCAAGGGGTGGTACTTATAATCATAACTGTGTGGATTCTGGGAAATACTACAGGAGGGATTAAAATAAGAGTTATCTAGAAGAGGCCACAGATGGAGAGAGAAAGAGACCGTTAGACATTCTGCAAAGTGCAGATGAAATATTCTTGAAGGAGTTTCCTCTGGTAAGCCAGTCCAGCAAAGGAACAAAAAGTTGGTTAAGCATATAGTGTGTGCCAGGCACATGCAATGTGGCCAGGAATAGCAATGACTGAGAGCAATATGGCCTCTGCCCCAGCTTATCAGGGAAAAGCTTCCAACTATGTGATGCTTGGAAAGGCTCCTTCCTCATGCACTTGTCACCACACTGAGAGTTCTTTCTTTCTTTCATTCATTCATTCATCCATCCATTCAAACACTTGTATATTCAGAGGCTGGTGAAATTATTCACTTGTTCTTTCATTCACGTTTCCACAAATGATTTTGTTTTACCAGGGCTTGTGTGGTGGGAAATCATTAGTGAGTGGTTTTATAGTCTCTGCCTTCTAAGAGTCAGTGCTACCAGAAGATGTAAAGGTTGTTTAGAGAATGGCTGCTAAATCACATGCCTGATTTGAACTTGCAACAGGCTCTTTCCAAGGTAGAGACAGGAATGGCAGTGACATTTGTGACATGTTTATGCTCTGTGACCGAGAGGAGCAGAGTAGGAAAGCACTGGACATACCTTGAATGGATGTGGAGCTGAATTTTGCCTCTACCATAAACTAGCTTCAGGGGAGGCTCACATTCTTTTGACTACCCAGAGTAATATCCAGGAGCCAGCAAGCTACGGAAAAAAGGCGTGTCACAATGCGTGGCTATCGTAAATGCTCGATTAATCTGAGTGATTTCCATGATGGCAATGCTAAAGGAAATGAAATCCTGCCAAAAGACTTATCTGATGCTTTCTGGTAGGGAAACACACACTCACACGGGGGTGGGACTCAGCACCACTGCTGTGCTTGGGGCTGAGTGTCTTGAGAAGAGCTAGACTCTGGAGACTAGGTGGTGAAGGAGTGAGGAAGCTGGAATTTTGCGACATGGAGAAAGCCGGAACTCAATATTTTAATCAATTCATGCTTCTGTTATTAAAAGTACTGGATAGAAGACTTCAAGCCGAGCCTTCTATATACTGGCTGTTTTGTTTTCTGTTTTCAGGACAAATGGTTTTGATGAGATTACATGACGAAGGCCGTTACAAATAATGGGTGAGAGGGTCTCCCTTCACATTCCTGACCCGACTTCCTTCTATTTGAAATGGACGTCAAAGACAAGGGAGAAGGTAGGGAGATAGTAGAAAAGATCACGGTGTGTTTCACTCAAGAAAAGAATGCTTTTAAGGCAACAGCATCAAAATAGCTTTAGCACCTAAAGATATGATCCTATCAAAAGATCCATCTCAGTGTGGCTTGCTTCTTCCATGTTAGCACCAAAATGCAAAGAGCCAAGGAGTTACTCTTCTGTTCCCTAAAACAAGGAAAAAGCTGAACAGAAAATCTATGACCTTCCTGGATCTCCTGTGAATTCTAGCAGTAAAGCAGGTCTCTACTGACAAGGCTTGGGAAGCAGGTAAGCATGGAAGGCGACCACACTAAGGTTGCTCATGGGAGCGCATCATGGGGATTTCATAAGTTCCTGGAAGCTGAATATAGGCCTCTATGAGAATACAAATCTAAGCCACAGTCCTGTCAAGGAGGGGCATATTTGTGACTCAGGAACACCATTGGGATCTCAGGGAATCCCATCTAACAGTACACTGTCAATCAAAGAGCTGTAAGGAGCAGACCAAACAGAGTTCATGAGAAGCTCTAAGACAAAGAGGGAGACAGTAAAAAAGACACTAGAGGAACTGGATGCCTTTGGCAACTATAGTTTTGTAACCATTAAACCTAACCCAGTGGGCACAGAAAACTCACCAAAGGTCTGTCTGCTTCAGTTCATGTTCTGGATGCACCATGTTCAACTTTGAATAACTTACAAGAAAGGAAAGAAATGCATGGCCTAAAAAAACAAAGCAAGTTTTGAAAACAGACTCAGATGTGGCACAAGTTTTAGAATTACCACAGAGGGAATTTAAAATGGAAATTTTAAGACAGCCTCAAAAGAAAATTTGAAAACGAAAAACACTGTAACAGAAACAGAAAACGTCTTTTATAAGCTCATTAGTAGACAAGGCATGGCTAAGGGAAGTTGGGAACTTGCAAATGTGTCAATACAAACTTGTCAAACTAAAAAGTAAAGAGAAAAAAAGAAATAAAGTATCAGGGAACCATGGGCTGTGTGAAAAGGTGTAGCACATGTGTAACTGGAATACCAGATGGAGGAGAAAAAGAGTTCATGGGGGAAGACACATGTAACACATACATGACTGACTGCTTTAAGGAGCTCCAGATGTGGAGCTCTTAGCAGAAAATCTAGCTGAAGAAAACACTCTTTAAAGTGGCAGATGGAGGGAACAACAGTATACAGAGAGAAAGAGGGATTAAAATCATGTCAGAGTTCCTTTCACAAACCATGCAAGCACAAAGGAAATAAAGTGAAATCAGATGCTGGGAGAAAATTCACCAACCTAGAGTTTTATACCCAGCAAAATTATTCTTCAAATGCGAAGGAAAAGCAATACATTTTCTGATGAAATTGAAGTCAACGATCACCAACAGACATGTTTAAAAGGCCTAAGACAGCAAGAAAATGACACAGACCATAAACTTAGATCTGCAGAGATAAGGAGGTCATAAGAAAAGAAGTGAATCTAAATGAAATAAAGCCTTGCTTG